GACAAAGAAAACCTAAGATACACAATCACTATCTTAGTTACTTTTCTCATTGCTGACAAAGTACCTGATACTCAAAGTTAAAGGAGGAAAGTTTGGACAGGTTTCAATCCATTATCAGCTGGCTCCAAGGCAGGGTGGTCTGTGAGGGGCTTAGCAGAGGAGAACCAGTTCATCACAAACAAAAGCAAGACAGCAAAAGCAAGTAAGAACATTACCAGTGTCTTTCTGCTTATTTTATCTTTACTTTATCTAGGCTACTTAGGGCAGGTAACACTCATACTTTTAATTCTAGTGCCCTTGATTCCAGCATTGCACTATGAATTAATTCCAGAACAACAAACTCTAGATCTAGTTGCTTCTGAAAAAAAACCCACCTATAACTTCATGAGACTTTGGGAAAATGTCTAAATAAAAGCCATTATCAATCCAGCAATGCATGAAATACTTGAGGAACAGACAAAGAGAAGTAGCTATCTTACTTTGAGACACAACAGACTTTAAAACTGATGAAAAGATTTCCAGCAAGATTGTGGAGCAATAAGCAGCAGAGAAAACAGCCTCTCTGAGAGTTACCGTCCAGATGCTGCAATACAGCATCAAGAGAAAGACAAGAAGGAAAAAAGCGGGTCTCTGGGACCTGGGAAAACTCTGAAGTGTGGATTGAAGCCCACAGAGAGAGGAAAAGGAAAAACTTCAATGAAAAAGGCAGTAGCTGGTGGTACCTTCACCCAGAACCAGACTTACTGCATGAAAGGAGCTGTTGGAACCTGGGGAAGCATGATTACAGTGATGTTGGCGACTGGTGATTCCAGAAGCCTCTGCAAAGACACCTGGCAGTGGAGGGGAGCAGTGGACATGGAAGACTGCACTGGCTGGCAGTGAGTGTAGAGGACTCAGTCCTCCTGCAGGAGACAACAACTGGCTAGGAGCCATTTTGGAGGCAGGCCAAATAAGCCCACAACCAGAACTACAGACGGCTTCCTCCAGCAGCTCCTAGCTGGGCATAGATCCATGGAAACTGCTTGGACTGTGGTGAGCCCAATGAGTCTGGTCTTAGGGCAGGCCTGCATCTACTACTCCCCCATAAACGAACAGGAGGACTGTGGGGATACAATGATATGATTTGGGATTCCGTCTCCACAGGCTGTCCACTAGTGAACCCAGAGAGAATCCTGGAAGTGGACTATTTTTTTTTTCTTGTTTGTTTTGTTTTGATTATTTCTGTTTCTCTTTCACTCTTTTTTTTATGAGGGTGACAGTAACTCCTAACCTTTTTGTGGGTGTGGTTCTGCGGTTATCTTTTCCATGTATCTTTCCCTTCAACCTTCTACACCAGTTTCCCCAAGTTTGCGGGATCCACCTTTGTCCTCCAACCTTACTTGTAAATCTCTTGCTCTTTTCCCACCTCTCTATTTTCTCCTTAATTCATTTTAAATGTTAACCTCTGAGGACAAAATTGGCACATTACAGACTTACATGTTGCATATAATTATCTGGTTTGTTTTACATTTTGTTACACAACCACAAATCTAGTTCACAGGGTTAAAAGTTGCAAATTAAGGGTTAGCTCAGTTCATTGATTTACATGCTGCATTTGATGCTATTGGTACCACTACACAAGTAACATAACAGTTCTAAACAGCTGTTGGTCCTGATAATCCATGACTGAGATTAACTACAGGTCACACAAAATACTATGGCACAGTGCCAAAGAACCAATACTAAGCCAAACAAGCAAAAACTTCTCATCTCCAACAAAGTGAAGAGGTAAAGTCTTCCTATAAACTCAAAACCCAAAAACCAGCTACACCGGGAAGATTCTTCAGAGAAGTAAGTAATCATCACCCGAGTGCCCTAATAAATAAAGCAACCTACCATAGGCAACTTACAAGTATCACCCCAGGAATTAAATTAGAAAAGAAATGACAAGACACTTAAACAAGATGCAACCCCAGATATCCAGTTCACCAAAGGCAAACCCAGGGAACAATGAGGTAGGACAATCCGAAAGCCCCTCCCACCAGGTCTCTCGGAAGTGGCAACAACAAAGCAACTGAATGAGGCTCTGGAAAAAATGAAATCAGAAATAATCTCTCAGATACCTACAGAGATTACCAAAATACACATCATGCTTAGCAATGTTAGAGCAGACACAAGCAAAAATAGACGAACTTAAGTAAATTATGGAAGTACAGCATAGGAAAAAAAATGGAATTCATAAAGCAGATTCAAGTAGATATCCAAGAGAACAAAAACTCTATTTGAAGCAGATTATGCTACTCTGAAGACAGGAGCTCAGAGATTCCCCCTCACTTCAGAAACATCAAGAAATGCTGGAGGGGCTGTGAAGAAAAAGGAATCCTTTTCCACTGTTGATTGGAATGCAAACACTGTGGAAATCTGGATGGAGATTCCTCAAAAAACTAGGATTGGAGGTCCCATTCTACCCAGCTATTCCCCTTCTGTGTATCTTCCCAAAAGAATTAAAAACATAATGCCACAGTGATATACGTGCACCCATGTTTACAGCAGCACAGTTTATAATAGCCAGATCCTGAAAAGAACCTAAATGCCCATAGATTGAGGGATGGATAAAGAAGATGTGGTATTTTATACAATGAAGTACTACTCAGCCATAACGAATGATAAACTGGAGGCTTTTATAGGTAAATGGATGCACCTTGAGAACATACTCATTAGTGAAATAAGACACACATGTGTAAACCTCATATTGTTTCATTAGTGACAAGCTGAAAGAAAATAAATATGTAAATGTGTATATATATATGTGTGTGTACATATATATATGCATATACATCAATAGTTATGTTAGTTACACTACTGATTTCTCTGAGTTTGCTGAAGAGAAAGATATGTGCTGGTATTGTTTGGAGAGTTGAAAGCAGATGTCTTGTGCGCTGGGTGAATGATTTGGGGATGACAATGTGCAATGTATATACCATTATTATCCCTTAATTGATGTGGTTTGAAATTTTGTTATTTTTTTCTTTCTGTGTTTGAATAAAATGGGTTTTAAAAAGACGGATGAAAACATGACAAAAGATGGCCAGTCACTGCCTACTTGTACAGGGAATAATAACTCCTAAGTATCCAACACACTAAATGTCACTATTGCATGAAAGCAAAACTACCAGACATAAAAGGAAAGAAAGACACCAAAACATTCACAGCAGGGGACTTCAACACCTCACTCTCACAATTAAGACAGGTCAACTAGAATATTCACAAAATTAACAAGAGTTAAACCACAATAGTGAACAAATGAACTTTATGGGTATCTACAAAGTGTTTCAATTATAGAATGTACATTTCTCAGTAGTACAAAACACACCATGTAGCATACTTAAATATAAAAGAATACTGTGCACCACTGGGTCATAGCAAAATGAAACAAAATAAATAGCAAAAGAGATCACAGAAACTATGTAAACATAGGGAGACTGAAGTAATCAGGAAGAAATGAAAAGTTCCTAGAATCCAATGACAAAAGAAACACGACACACCAAAACCTATGGGATATAATAGAAGCTGTTCTAAGAGAGAAAACTATAGCTGTAAATGGCAAAAGAATGGAGCAATCCTACATAAATAACCAAGCAATGCACCTCAACGTCCTAGAGGAAAAAAGAGAAAGACTCAAATCTGAAACTAATAAAAGTAAAGATATTACAAAAATTAGAGGGGCTGGGGATTTAGCTCAGCGGCATAAGCGCCTGCCTTGCAAGCAGGCAGTCGTGAGTTCAATCCCCGGTACCGATAAAAAGGAAAAAGAAAAAAAAAAAAAAAAAAAAAAAAATAGAGTGAAAAATTAGTGGAATTAAGACCAAAAACATTTACAAGGGATCAATGAATCCAGTGATTCTCTGAAAGACAAGAAGGGAATTTCGGGATGTGGAGACAGGAGGGAGGGGAAGGAAAGTAGAAAAAGATTCAAGGTGGAATGTATATACATATACCAATTCCTTCATGTTGAATGCATCTTACTACATACTGTAAAAGTATAAACAAGAGGAAAAAAATGGCCTGGGAATATAGCTCAGTGATAGGGGTGGGGAAGGAGGAAGCAAGAAAGTGATTGATCTTTTAAGTGAAGAAATTTGTCAGCTGATATTGAAGAGGCAAACTTCTATACTGTAATAGAGCCACATGGCTAGTATAGAGAGTGATCACTAGGAACCGACAGCCACCAAGAAAATAAAGCCCTAAATCCTACTATCACAAAGAAGAAATTCTGCTAACAACCTGAATAGGCTTGAAAATGGACTCCTCCAAATGAAAATGCAGCTAAACCAACGCATATTTTGCAGTACTGTTCAATCCTGAGAAGAGAATCAAACATATTGTGCTCAGAATTCTGATCTACTGAAAGAAAATAAGCAAGTACTCTTTTAAATAACTAAGTTTATGATAATTTACTGTCAAGTAATATACAGCTAATATACTTAATTTCTTAATTAATAACAAATGAAACTTAATTGGCACATATTCACTAAGTTAAATGCCATGAAAAGCCCAGAATGAATCTTGCAAACAAACAGTAAGTGGTATAGGCAAAATAATTATTTAAGTATCCTACATAAATGATTTTTTTTTTTGAGACAGGGCTCCACTGTATAGGTTAGACTGCCCTTGAACTTGTAACAATCCTCCTGCCTCAGTTTCCTCAGTGCTGAGAATACTGGTGTGTACCACCACACCTGGCTATATATTACATTTTTAAAAAGCGATTTTCAAAAGGCAAGAAATAAGCCAGGCATGGTGGTATACTCCTATAATCTTAGCACTTGGGAGGCTGAGGTACAAAAGATGGTTGCTAGTTTGAGACCAGCCTGGGTTGCAATGTGAGATCAAGGGCAGCCTTAATTTTCATAAAGGTCATATTCAACACCTAGAGAAATTTCAAAAAAGTTATTTTAAAGTGAATGTTTTACCTCATAAACACATTTCTAAAAACCCATCACATTTACATTCTTACTCACGCTTCATTAAGGGGTACAAAAATAAAATCCTTCTCAAAAATATCTACATGCCGGGTCCATGTTTTCACTCTCCCGTGTCGTTTTTGTTGTATTCTGTTAAGAAAGAAATACATTATAAGCTCCTGAATAGTCTTTATTATTTCACCTCACATGCAGTGACTTATAAATCAAGAAGACTGAGATATAAAAGCTCAAATAACTGTACCAGGTGGAAAAAAAAATACAGCATCTTAGATCAAATTGGCACAGAAATGCCCATCAATGAGTATGGAGGGGAGATACTTATTCTACTATATTCCTTTGGCATTCCAGGGTTTTTTTTTTGCCTGGATTTCTCTACTATACTTTTTAATTACTGCAGAATTGGTACTAGCAATATACCGAGAGGCACATCACAGCATGACTTACACTAACTAAGGAGAAGAGACCAGGAAAAGTAAACAATATCTGATGGTAGGAGAAGCAGGGTGATTACGAGCACTGGTCAAAAAAAAATCAATGCCTATCAACAGCTCAAAGATACAAAATTAGAAACTGCTCAAATAATAGAAAATATTATTTATATCATGCACAGCAACTATCAATACAAGACATTTAATGGTAGTCATAAGAAAATGTATCAACTACTGTGCATATTTTGACCTATCACCAGCGAGTGTTAGAGCCATATTCTACTAGGGTATGGAGAGACATTGTGTGACATGCAGCACAGTATTTCCTTAACTCATCCAAGAAGAATCATCCAAAAGAGCTTATTAAAAGTACAGATTCACAGCTTCCTCTAAGTAACTTCTAAAAAGAAAAATCAGTTATTGTTGGAAAACACTGTTCTAAGTTGGAAAACACTATTCTAAGAACAAGGATTCTTTTTTTATCGGTACCAGGGATAGAATTCATGACTGTCTGCTTGCAAGGCAAAGCAGGCGCTTATGCCACTGAGCTAAATCCCCAGCCCCACTGTTCTATTCTAAATATTAGACCTCTAACATTTATAAATTGCAGTTATTCTGGAGGTTTTAGAATAACATGAATTATAGCAAAAGAAATAGAACTAAACAAAGCTGCCTTACATCAATAATTATTTCTTTAATTACATCTTAAGATTAAGGCAGTGAAACATCAACCTATGGGGGCTGGGGATTTAGCTCAGCGGCATAAACGCCTGCCTTACAAGCAGGCAGTCGTGGGTTCGATCCCTGGTACCGATAAAAATGAAAAAGACAAAAAAAACCCCAAAAAACAAAAAACAAAACATCAACCTATGAAAACTAAAAATTAACCTCACATATTTGCTATGTTCCTTTCTTGGCTTTTAGAATACAGAAGCAAGTTAACCACAGAGATCATTGGTTTTCTTTTAAATACTGTTGGCCCTTCCTTAAGCCACATCCATGAACTGATAGATATACTGAACATAAAGAGATTGTTTTGTTATTACTCTTGAATACAATATAATGACTTTTTAATGGTATTTACATTGTATTCTGTGTAACCAGAGACAATTTAAGGCATGCAAAGGATAGGCTATGCCATTTTGTATCTAGAAACTAAGCATCGGGCTGGGGATTTAGCTCAGCGGCATAAGTACCTGCCTTGCAAGCAGGCGGTCGTGAGTTTGATCCCCGGTACCGATAAAAATGAAAAAGACAAAAAAAAAAAAAAAAAAAAAAAAAAAGAAACTAAACATCTACAAATTTGGTATCCTATGCGGGGTAGAAGAAATATGGAACCCACCACCCACTGGATACTGAAAGGGATTGTTTTACTAAAATAATCTTTACGTTTGTTAAATATTTTCTGGGTCTGACTTACGACAGATTAGTTGTTTCATGATTTCTCCTCTCTCTCTGATTAAGGCGTTTGTAGAAAAAAGAACTGAATATATGAATTCTGTCAGCTTCTTCTTTCTTCAGTTTTTGAAGCACCAAGTATCTATTTTAAGCAAAAATAATCCCAATATAATGGTTATAACAGTTCACTTTATATTAAAAACAGTTAAGCAGTGGTGAAATAATTATTTGGCTACCATCAATCTCTTTTCTTTACAAATGAAAGAAGTTATTGACAGAATTTATTTCATACTCTTGACAATAATTTCAGATTACCTTTATCCCAGGACACTGTCTTAATAAATTGTTTATTTCTACAATAATATACCAAGAACACAGTATGTAGTGAGCTAGCTTTAAGTCACAATGATGAAATTTAAAATACAAATAATTTAACTTTAGAAAACAAGAGCATATGTTGGAATGTTAAAGATTTTTAAGTGTCAGTAGAAAATTAACTTACTTCAAATAAAAGTCTATAATAACATCGTTTAAAAACTCTCCTTCACTCAGACAGTGCAGGTCCTCATTAGTAACAGAGATGCCACCCTTAGCAGGAGGTGGTGGATACACTATCAGTCTGTAATTTAAAAAAAAGGCAAATAAATGAAAGTTTATGTATCCACATAACTAAATGTAAGAAAAGACAGACAAAATTTTAAAGCATCGCAAAAGTAAAAAAATTGTCTTACTTTTCTACAGGCCCAATGAAGATGGTATGGCTTTCTCCAGATTCTTCCTCATCATCAAAAAACTGGAATTCTTGTTTATTTGTAAGTTGTATTTTAGATTCAAAGGACATCTGGTGAAGGAAATTAAAGTACCAATTCACAAGATTAGAAAGATGTTCTATAAAAAGATCAAAGGCAAAGCATAGAAAGCTTTCAATTAGAATTAAAAATATGAATCTAGCAAAGGATGCATGATATTTAACAATTAAAAATGACAAAAAGGCAGGATTAACATCCATATTCTATAATTTAAAGGACATTCTCCCAAAATATGTTAATAACGGTCTTTCAGTGTCTTACTGTTGAGAGTTCTAAAGCTAGATTTTATTAGTAAGATTCAAGGAACCTTTAAAAAACCAAAGCAGTATTATTCTCCTAGCAGTAGAGGTCTACCTAAATGCAGTTACTCCATGGGATGTGGGGGCGAGGAGGACACTGTCTGCTGGGTTTTGATCCTCTATGGAGCTAAATTAAACAGAGGGTCCTTACAAAGAAGAGCCTTCTATTGAAATCTGAGTCCATCCCAGATGACTTGAGGGTTCTGCTGGTCTTTTCTTCCTCTGGCATTATCTTCTGCCTACATCTCTACAAAAGGAGAAGGAACTCGTTCTCCTTCTGCTCTTTTCCCCAACCTGCTAACTCTACGATGCTTTGTTCAACTTCCACAATTGTGCCTTACATAGTCACATTTCTAAATTGTAATCCAAGCTGAAATTTACTTCCAATACATTAAGTCAGCAACATTCAGTAGCTTAGCTTTAGCAGTACTGTGGCCTTTGCTTCACATGATTCCAAGTTCCTTAACTATTTGAGTAAATGCTATATAGTTGGATACATATTTTGACAATCAAATTCAAATGATAAAATTTTTTAGTTCCAAAGTTTTCAACTCTGGACCCATGTTAACTATAAATGTACAATACCACCTATATGGGACTAACATCCCTGTAAATCTAAAACATGGGGGGCAACAATTTGCATATGGAAGCACATATATATGTATGTTGGGAGTGGAGTGTAAATTAAAAGAACAGAGTGATATATTCATCTTTTTTTAACCTGGGGATTCAATACAGGTGCATTCTAACACTAGGTTACCTCCCCAGCCCTTTTGAGACAGGGCCTTACTAAGTTGACCTAAACTTGCAGTCTTTCCTCACTCTCCTCAAGTGCTGGGATAAATGACAAGCCACTGAGCTTGGCTATCATTAATGTTTTGATACAAGACAGTTTGCATCATGTATAAAAACAAATTCTGAAATGGAATTAAAAAAAAATTAAAATGAGCAACACTATAATAAAAAATTTCTCTTTTAAATAATCCATTATTTGAAATTATTTTTAAAAATTTAAACATAATTACAATTTTAACTTTGCTTTCTTTTTGCATACAACTTCCTCTGATACTTTCTTCATAGTTTCTTGTACAAGCAACAAGTCTGCTATTGGCTTCTTCAAAGAGAATTTTTCCAAAAAAATTGGAAACATTATTCTTTATACCAATGCTATTAATGATGCTCTCAAATACCACGTTTGTCTGTGGATCAAGGCTATTTTGGAAAATTAAAATGATGTATTGTTCTTCCAAATCTGAAAAGAAATAAAATTAAAATTAAAATAAGTACAAAAAGAGTTCACAACTAATTTCCAAGATCAGAAGTCCTGAAAAAAATATCCAAAACAATGTCTGGTATATCATAGATATCAGATAAATAATAGAATAAAAGAAAAATCAGTGTTACCTGACAATGTCACCTAAATCACAAAAATACACACAAAAAATACACCAACTCCGAAATAAATTTATTCACTGATGTAACTAATGCTTACTGAAAAGGCTCTAAAGCTATTTGTAACCTTAAATATATCAGTTAACATTTTTCTCAAACTCAAACAGGAAATTTTCCAAGTGAATTGATAATATCTCTATGGAATGTAACTGCAAACCTGTTACTCATGAATGTGTTGACCTTTGCAGGTTTAATAATAGTGTTCACACATTATTAAGCTGAAACAGCAATTACTGCTGACACGTTATTTCTTTTGTAAGCAGTTGTGCCGACATACTTCATAGATTAAGAGAAACAAACTGGAGAAATGTATCTATATATTAAAGACAAAGGCTCTATGAACCTGGGAAATTTTTAAGCCTCATTTTAAGGATTCCAGATTTATATGGATGGTTTACATTTAACATTTCTTCAAGATGTTACAGTGTTAAAGAATACAGATCTTTTTGAGTTGCAATCCATTTTGAAAACTAAGTGGATAAACCTGAATTTTACCTTTAGTTTTCCACTTTCTATAGGTATGTCTTCAACTAAAAAATGGAAGCAGTATTTTATTTTGCAAGGTAGTTGCAATATATTCTAATAAATGAAGTAAGTGAGACTTGAGAAGTACTGCTTCAATATACGCTCTAAAATACATAAGCAGGCAATTTGTGGACTCTGGGTAGAGAGAAGGCCTCACCAGGAAGGAAGCTCAGTCTGAAAACCAGCGACAAGTACAGACTGTCACTGGCCTGAAACAGACCTCAGCCTCTCCCTGTGTGAGTCAGCACCATTCTCGGACTGGGACAAGAGAGGACACACCAGGAAGCAAGACCAGTCTGGGAAGCAGCACCATGTGCAGGTTACTGGAACTAATAGCCAGACCCCAGCCCCTTGTGGTGTGGATCACATACAAGTAGTACCAATCTCTACCATCCTGTCTCTACCCCTGGCTATAAGTGACCAGCTTATCCAGAGAAACACAGGCTGTGATGATAGCTATGGAGGAGAAATGTAATTGGGTGCCTGTGGTGCTCTGGTGTTTGACTAACATTGCAGGTCTAGGGCCAGTGGTCTGACCATAGGTTCAGAGGATAGCCTTTTACAGTGTGGCATCTAGGGGGGGACCTCCTTCTGATGGTTGCAATCATTGTTAATTCCCTATGGTCTTGTTTTGGAAGTCCTATATCATTCCCATTGTTTTGTTGGGTTGGTTTTATTTTGTTTTGCTTTGATTACATCAAATCCAAAGGCAGGAACAGTTATTTCAAAGATAGCAAGAAATATTATGGTACCAACTTGGATTTATTATTGGTTTCTTCTGAAATCCTTTATTGCACCTATTGTTTTGTTTTTATTGTTTCTATTCTATTCTGTTCTGTTTGATATTTTACTATATCTGCTTTGAAGATAAGAGGCATTATGGTAACTACTGTTGATTTTGTAATGTTTTGAAGTCCTATATCTCTTACATTGGTTTGTTTGATAGGTCGTATTCTGTTTTATCCTCTTTAAAATCAATCCAATAAAACACATATACAGGCACGTTGCCCTGGACTGTGTCAACTTCCTGGTACATGCATGTTCTTACTATTCAACAAATTGTGTTATCATATTAAATCTGTTGTACATAACTTACTTGTTAACTTATTTATTCCTTTACAATCATTCCATACTTTATCTTCCTTATTCATTTGCAGTTGCAGGCTCAGCTTTTGATAAATTGTTGGTATTGTCTGAAGAAACACTACCGGTAATTTTCGGACATTACACCATTCACATTTAGTTAGATCAGAGGTATTTAAAACAATCTCTACAGGATCACTTTCTGGTTCTGGAGGAAAAACAAGTGGAAATGTAAAAAGAATAAATTCTTAGAGGGCAGAATCATGAGTGGAGGAAATATAAATTTAGTGCTTTATTATGATGCTTTGTAAGTAACTTAAAAGCATATTAAAGCAGCTTTCAGCCAGGCATGGTGGTCCATGCCTGTAACACAAGTACCTATGAGGTTGTGGAAAAAGGACTGCCTTGAGTTCAGACTAGACTACACAGGAAGACCACTTTTTAACAAAACAAAACAAATGAAAGAAGCTTCTATTTTTTCTAAATAAAAAGGTGCTAAATCAAATTAGGCTCTGCTATGTTACAAAATGAAATTATACCAGAATATATGCCTTTTGCTAGGAATATATATGTAACAACTAATTATCTTAATGGATTTTGTAAGTATCTTTTAATCTTTTATTCATGTAAAGTGATTCAGAGTAAACAAAGCTTCAGAGAATAAACATATGGAAAAGTAGCTTACCATCTAGATGTATCTTGATAAAATCTACAGAGAACTATAAAAAATTAAGATAAATTAGTACTAATCATACACTTATGAAAATTTTGTTATACATATTTTAAGTAATATATGTGCCTTAAATCTACAGCCATTCTCTATATGCTTAACATTTAAGATGAAAACTTACACTACAAAATTATCTATCAGAAATTAAGCCTAAATTTTTTTTAAGTATGTTATTCTATTACTAGTTTATCTCTAGGGAAGCTAACATATTATTACAATGAATACTTGGGATACAGTACTTTTTGCCTAGATTCATTTTGTGACATTTACCGCATCATTCTTTATACACATTTATCACTTTTTATACATATTCCTTTGCCTTTCACCAAGCAAGAAACATATATTATAATAATTAATTTCCAAATACTTCAGCATGTATTTCTAAAGAATAAGGACCTTCTTCTATGCAACAAAAATATTTAACACATTTAAGAAATCAAGACTTTATCCCACACACAGTTTGTGCTTAAATTTCCAAAACCACTCAGAACTGGCTTTTATCTTTGTTTTAACTCTTTCCCAAGCCATGATTTTGTAAAGGCTGTATTACAGTTACTTCTCTTGTTCACTCCATTCTAAAGTAGAAATCTGACTCTCCTCTGTTCTTCATGACACGATCTTTTAAGAATTCCAGGCATAATTCTACAAAACATTCAATATGCTGGACTTGAATTTCCCAATTTAAAAATTTAAGCCATACATTTCCACCAAGTATAACACACGGGGGATGTACTGAAATTTTTCCCAAAGAAAGTATAATATCAGAAGGCACATGTTGGGTGACTTAATCAGCTAAGCAAGGCAGTAACTGCTAGGTTCCTACACTATAAAGATATATTTTCCCTTTGTAATTAACTAATATGAAGAGACACTTGAAAGCAAATATCCTGCTCCCAAATAGCCTTTAATACAATGGTATTAGCATCCATTGAAAATCTTTGCCAAATTCAGTTATTATTGGTGATTAAAAAAATGGTAATTTTTTAACTATTTCAATGTAAGAAAGACTTAACATTAAGCCTGATACAATCTGAATAATCATGTTTTATGTTTATAAAATGGAACCAAGTACTTTGAAATGCATTTTAAATATAAATTGATTAATACAGAGAAATAAGTAAGATATATGAAAATTACATACAGTTTGAGTGTTTCTTATCCAAAATGCTTGGGACCAGAAATGTTTCAGACATTTGAAGTTTTCAAATTTTGAAATATTTGCCTAGGATTCACTGAGCCTCACTAACATGAAAATCTGAAATTCTAGGTGTTCCCAATTACATAACTTTACTTTTGTGCTGCTAGACACTGAGCTCAGCTAATACACAAGCTCTAAAACTGAACTATACTCTAGATCCGATTCAACTTTTTAAAAAAACCTGGGATCTCACTACTTGCTCAGGCATGTCCTGAACTCCTAGATGCACGTGATTGTTCTATTTCAGTCTCTCTGAGTTAGAAATACAGGCATATAACATCATGCTCTCCACTCCAAAACTTAGTGTCACTTGAGCATGGATGTTTTCAATTAGTGATTACTTAACCTGTATACTATGATACTAATGGTAAAATCTAACTGGATATATATAAATGTTCACCATAATATTCTTTGAATAATTGGAAAATTTTTATAATGTAAAAAGCAAAACAAGAAACTATAAATTTGGAAATAACTACACCAATCACCAAGTCTATAATGCTATTAAACATACTTTTAAAACACTTCTCTGAAAGTAACAGTTAATTGAAGCAATATAAAAAGAATGAAGATGTGCTATGTGCAATACCAATTCCCTATGATGAATGTAATCATTATATACTGCAAACACATACTAATGGAAAAAAAAATAAAAGCAAGTAACAAATTAACTGACTTCACTAGAAAGTCACATATTATATGGATAACATGGCTATAATCTCAGTTCAGAAGGCTAAGGCAGGAGGTATTAAAAAGCTGAGGCATACACAGCATACACAGAAACTAAAATTGCATGCTTAAGAAAAAGGTTAGATGACTGAGAAAGTAACAATAAAAATGAAATATATTAAGTGATGATATAAAATATTTGAATAAAATTGTTACAGGAGATAAAGGAATTTAAACAGAATGTTTTATCTGGGCATAGCAGTACACACTTATAATCTTAGTACTCTGGAAGGCTGAGGCTGGAGGATTGCAAGCTTGAGCCCAGCCTTGGTAGAGTCTGTATTAAAATAAATGATAGCAGGGCATGGTGATACCTGCTTATAATCCCAGCAAATAGGAGGCTAAGACAGGACGGTTGTCACAAGTTTGAGACCAGCCTGAGCTACAAAGTGAGTTCAAGGCCAGCCCTAACTACATAGTGAGACCTTATCTCAAAAATACTAAAATGAATGATGAAGTGTTAGGGATGTGGCCCTGGACTTAATCCCTAGTTCTAACTCCCTCAAAAGTCTTAGTATTTATGCCGTTTAAAATGTGTGTATATTAATACGATTATTACAAGTAAGCACAGGGCTATACAGCAAAGCATTTGTAAAAATAAACTGATTGCCGGGGACTTAGCTCAGCGGCATAAGCACCTGCCAGGCAAGCGTGAAGTCCTGAGTTCGGTCCCTGGTACCAAAAAAACAAGATGAAAAAAAAATTAAACTGACTGAAAGACTAGAGTTTAGATTTTATTCCTTCAATGGAAAAACACAAAGAACTTCATAGTTTAGCATATGTGATATTCCCAGTAATGTAACCTGTTTTACTTTAAATTGGCATTTCTAGATACTGTCTACTGCTGATTAGATGCAATTTAAATCATATTCAGTAATAAAATACATCTTCTTCATTGCACCACCCATAGAATTGATAGATCCAGTATAATTCAACGGAAGTTGGCCTGGGATGTAGCTAAGCGCTTGTCTGGCAAGCACAAGGTCCTGAGTTCGATCCCCCGTACAAACAAAACAAAACAAAACAAAAAAAACATATGTTTTTTGGAAAAGTCCTATGCTACAAAAATTAATACTGCATAGAAAATTTTCTACATTGCTTTTTTTGGCTGAAATACTCTGCTTAGGCATTTTAATTTTAAAAAGTACATCAGCGTATTTTATATTACATATATTACCTTTTGGGGATTAAATTTATTAAGTTTTACTTCATTGTATCATATATAACCTAACCTGTTTAAGGAAAAAACACATCTAATTATTAATGTATTCTTGACAGCGTTGAAACTAAAAGCTATCTACAGCTACTTTCATTAAAAATTGTGAAACACCAACAAAATTTTGTCATACAGAAGTGTTAATAGTGTTAATAAAAGGGAAAAGTCATAAAAGCTAGAATGCTTCAGGAAATTTTTTGAGGTATAAAGTGAGATAAAATCACAATTTTATCAAATGACAAAACTCAGAAAGGTAATTTGTAGAATGAAAATTTGTTAAAAAACACAAATCTCACCCATCACTGAAAAACAATGTTATAATATTATTGGGCAATAAAGGTAGGGCATATGTGTCATTTGCTTTGTATCTCTGGGATACTTTTGAAATTTTCTAATTTTTAAATTGTGGTAAACTGGAGTATTTCAGTGGGAACAAAAAAATGCTGATGCCCCCAGACCTTTGCTCTGCTAAGAAATTATATTCGTAGTTCATTTGCTCCTATAAATTAACCTGTAAAATTTTTCTTTTAGTTATACTGTATCTTTAGAACCAATAAACTTCACCAGAATATAAATTATTATTACTTATCATAGTTTGAGTAAAAACAATGAAACTATCTTTTAACTTTCATGCTGTGATACACTATGCTGTCATAAGGATACTACTTTATGTACAAAGTATTCTTTATAATATTAGGAGATGGAGGGATGGGGATATAACTCAGCAGCACAGCATCTGCCACACAAGTGCAAGATCCCAGGTTTGATTGCCAGTATTCAAAAAAAAAAAAAAAAATTAGGGGATGGAAAATATAGTAAAGGGCACCAAGTTAAGGCACTACAGAATAAGCACAGTTTGAACTCATTAGAAAGAAAACATGATGAAGAATGGAGGTTGGAGATGTTAAAATTTCAAATAGAAGATCAACACTTAGATGGGATTTGTGGCAATAAAGTAGTAAGTAGACATGCATGACAGGTAAAATAAAGAGACTATAGAAAATTTTGTAGGTGCTGTGGACACTGAACTAATCCAAAAGCATCATGCTTCTTGGAGGCTTCTTAGGTGTCCAGTGTAGTCCAATAACCTGTTTTCTAGAAGCCTTAATGGAACAATACATTTTCAGCAGAACTCAAAAGCTTTTGGATTCTTCTTTTACTACTGTTCTTCAATATATTCTTTTCATAAACTGAGCTGGCATGAGAATAAAACATACTGAAAGTTTTCTTTTCTTTCTTTCTTTCTTTTTTTTTTTTTTTTTGTCTTTTTCATTTTTATCGGTACTGGGATCAAACTCACGATCGCCTGCTTGCAAGGCAGGTGCTTATGCCGCTGAGCTAAATCCCAGCCCCATACTGAAAGTTTTCATAACTCATTACAAGTTATTTGTGTCTTTCTACATGATAAATTTTAATCTATTAATTTTTAATGACTTATTATTCTTAAAGCAATTTCAAATCTTGAAATCAACTTAGTATTTGATTAACTTAAATTAACAAAATTTAAATATTACACATTAGACTTGCTAGTGGAAATATGAACCTTACGATTAGCACAATGAACAGAACATACTTACAGTTACAGGCTCTATTAAGAGTCGAAACAGTGTTCCTACTCGTATACTTCGACAGTTTAAAACGACTCTTTCAAAGGGACTTGGGCATCTTACAGACACAGGATCAATTAAAGTTTCTTGAGAATTAACTTTACGACGTTTTAGAGGTGTGGTGATAATAGGATTGCCAAACTGAAAAAGAAAACTTTCATTTAATAAATCATTGTTACAAGGCTGCACATTTAATACACAGTACAACAGATACACAAACAAGATTCCATATAAGAAATGTAAATTATTACAACACAGGATTTATTTTCCTTCAAGAATGCTAAAGGAAACAGAAATTTGTGGTTTTGAAATAAGTCAACCACATCTACTTTATTTAATAGTATACTTCATTATTATATGAAATTCAAGTAATAACACTGCAGTTGGATATAGTATTCCAGAAATCAGATACCTTTGGTTCAAATCACAATCAAACTATCTTTTAATGATCTCAATTGATAAAACTCAATAAAAACTTAAGTTGCACTTTCCTAAAATGAAAAAATAAAGGACAAAGATTATACCCATTATTTATTTTACAAATTTGGCTTTGCAAAGGGTTTTATGTACAGTAAAATGCTGGATAAAAGCAAGTGACAGTGTCAGTGGTAGTACTTAAAGGAAATCATCAACACTTTGCAAAACAAGCAATTATAGAAATGATTATGTGCATTACAAAAGGATTCTTTATATATTTTAAGTTACTTGATCCGTTAAAGTATCAATGTGTAGTTATTTCCAAAAGCAAATTAATTATACAAACTAATTTGAATCTATAACTTTAATGAAAAACAATCTTATTGCAGGCTGAGATATTTTATCTAAAATCAGAATTAGAAACATTTTGGATTTTGGAATAGCTATGGAACACCTCTAATCCGAAATGCAAAATTCAAAATCTTGGAGCATCATGTCAACACTCACAAAGTATCAGACTTCGGTACATTTCAGATTTTGGATTTCTGAATTAGAGAAAACTGAACATCCACATATAGAACAATGAAATTAGATTCATACTTCTCACCATTAACACAAAACAATTAAAAATTGATTAAAAAAACTAAAATGTAAGACCTGGAATTATGAAACCAGCAGAAAGAAACATAAGGGAAATACTTGAGAACGTTGAAAGTGGCAAGGATTTAAAAAACATGGACCAAAAAACAGAAAACAGGCAAAAAAAAGAAAGAATTATATCAAACTAAAAAGCTTCCACACTGGAAAAGAAAATGGGAAAAACCTATTAACTGCAAAGACAATATACAGGACAAAATATCTGCAATGTACACAACTGAAAAGAATTCAAATCTAAAATATACAAGATAGGGAATCAACTCAATAGCTAGAAACAAACAAAACAAACCCCTGACAAATCAAATACTGGGCAATTGACTAAACAGAGATTTCTCAAAAAAAGACACACAAATAGTCAACACATACATGAAAAATTGCTCAACATCACTAGCAGAAAAATTCATATCAAAACTACAGTGAGATCCCACCTCATTCCAATAAGGCTATTGTCAAAAGATTTAAGGGAAACAAGTGAGGGCAACAATATGGAGAAAAAGGAACTCTCTTGTATATTTTGATGAAAATATAAATCACATACTGGAAACAGTAAGGAGGTTCCTCATAAAATTAAAAATAGATCTACTAAATGAGCAAACCACAAACTGAAATGAATATATCTAAAGGAAATGAATTCAGTTTGCTGAAGAATGAACATTTGAATACTCAAGTTTAATGCAGCACTATTCATAATAATAAAAAAATGGAAACAAATCAAGGGTCCACCACTGCTGAATGGATAAAGAAAATGTAGTACAGTATGTACATGCAAGCAATGCAGTATTATTCAGCCATAAAAAAGAATAAAAGAATAAAACTGTCACTTATGAAAATATGGAACTGGAGACCATCACGTTAAATAGGCCAGGTGCTGAAGACAAGTACCAGATAACCTCACTCACACATGGAACCTAAAAATGTTGATCTCAAAAAAGACGAAAATGGAATGGTGGCTACCAGGGACTGAAGAGAGTATGGCATAGGATGAATGAGTTATTTGGGTAGTAGTAAAAGAAGTTCTAAACATTACACAATGCATATGTGCATTGACACATTACACGGTACTCCATAATTATGCACAATTTCTGTTTCATATGAGTTTAAAAAATTAAATAAAAACAAATGTGATTCTATGTATCTGGTTTTTTTAAACTGCTTTTTTTTTTCAGGCTTACTAACAGTCTTGCAAGAACATTTCCCCCAATTATTTGTAGAAACCTAATAAAAAGGTTTTTATATTGTTGGGTTTTGCTTGTTTTTGGTTTAGTTCCCACTCTCCGCATAAGAGCTTATTTGGCTGACTAATAAAACAGATTAATTCAAAAGTGATCCAGCTGAGCTAGGCGTGGTGATACATGGTCCAGCACTCTGGAAAACGGAGGCAAGAAGCATCACAAGTTTGGCTCAACTCAGAACTTAGCATACAATCCCCAAAAAAATGCTCTGGCTAAGTAGAGCTGATATGATAGAAGCGTGGAGTTTACAATCTGAGTGGCCTCCACTCTCCCACATAGTGTGACTGACAAGAACACTGGATATCCCCTTGTGCTTCAGTGTGTCAGTCTGATTACTGCCAGCCTGAAAACTGCTGAACTAACAATTTGAACAGAAATTGTTTATCAACTTGAGTGCTTCTATGCTGGATATCTACTATATTTAAGACCTTTCCAATATTTCCCCATTAGAAACTGTCTCCAACATGTACTTCTACAGCTGAATCATAATACTCAGCTAGAAATATTGACAATTGCCCTCCAGCACAGTTCTACCAATTTGTAAACCCAACAACCTCTTATCCAAATACCAAGATGAGAGACACAATTATATTTTAAAAACTGTTGGTAATGAGGATAATATTTAAATTTCACATTCATTACTTTGGTTACCAGCTTTGCTGTACCTTAATAATTTCCTTGACTCATTATTGAGTGATTTGTGTCTAAGACATTAAAGCTGCATATGTTGGCTTACTTTTTTTTTTGGTCTTTTTGAGACAGCGTCTCGCTATGCAGTTCAGCTTGGCCTTCAGCTCATTTTTTAACCCAGGCTAGTCTCCAACTCACAACAATACTCCCACTTCAGCTTCCCAAGTGCAGGGATTATAGGTGTTTGCTACGATGCCTGGCTCAGCTTACATTTGACAAATACTTTACTATCCCCCTCCACTTGTATTTACCTATCAAAATCTTCTTTATGATATTTTAGTATCACTGTCTTTTTTTTTTTTTTACCATGCAAGTTTTATTGTATTAAAGTTATTTTTACAAAAACAGGGTAATATACAGATATTCCTGCATCTTGCTATTCTTACTGAATGTTCTGTAGAAATCCTAAAAGTCACTGGTATATCTCTAGTTATTTTTAATGGTTGCATCATAACTTATTCAGTCATACACATATTACTGGACAATGATTCGCTCTACAGTTGTTTGTTAATATATAAACACGTCAATAGGTACAGCTTTGCATACTGGGGATAAGTGAAGAAATTCCTCTGAGATTCGTAGAAATTTCAGATAACTACTTATTTGGTCAAATAGTACATAGGTAAGTAAATTCTAGGAGGGAATTTCTGGGAAGATGAAAGAGTGGTAAGCAACAGAAAAAGAGCCTGAGAGTTTCTGCACAGCAATGTGAGGAAGACAAAGAGGGAAGTGGGAAGAGAGAAGCGAGAATTGAAGCCTATAGGAAGAGCAAAGAGAGAAACTTCAACAAAACAAGGTAGCCAGTGGAGCCTTCTCCAAGTTGGGACTCACTTTGTGACAGTAATGGTTCAAACTTGGGGACACACGGTGACTGCTGGCAACTCCAAAGGTCTCCTACAGGTAGACACAGCAGTGGAAGGGGACAGGACTGCAAGAGCTGGTGATAAGCACTATGGGATTGGACATCCTGTGGGAGAGGGTGACTGGATGGGAACCATCTTGGAAAGGGGTCAACTGAGCTCAAAATTCAGAACAACTATTGTGTCCCCCAAGTGGCCGCCAGCTCAGTTCAAGACCACAGAAAGTGTGTGTGCTGATGGCTGTAGGCTGGACAAATATGGTCACAGGCTCACAAACAGAAACCAGCCTCAACTTCAGTAGAATAAAGGTGCAAGTTAGCTGAGATGATACACCAACCCCAACATAAAGCTACTGGTGGCTTGCTGAGATAAATCAACATGGATTTGGACTGTCTCCACATGCTGTCTTCTAGTGGCAGCAAAGACAAACATGGACTATTGTATCTCCCTTGTTTTTTTTTCCATTGTTTATTTTTGTATGAGTGTGAACATGATTTCTAGCTTCTTTCTTGTTGTTGTAGTATTGTTATTTCCTTTATTTTTTTCTTTTCTCTTTCCCTCCTGTCTTCCTGTACCAGTTTCCCAAAGTTTACATTATCCTTTATTCTCCAGCCCTTACATCTAATCTTTTCCAATTTTTCTGTTTCTCTACCTTTTGTCCTAACTCATTTTAAATTACCTCCCTGAGGGCAAAATCGACTTACTTAGTGAATATAATTTTCTGTTTTCTTTTAGATTCTGATTTATGTAACCACAAATCTAGTTCACAGGTAAAAGTGGCAAATTAATGGTTACCTCACTTTGTGATTTTTTCTAGATTATGTTTGATACTTTGTGTGTGTGTGCGTGTGTGTGTGTGTGTGTACTGAGGAATCAAATTTATGACCTTGAGCTTGCCAGGCACATGCTTACGCCACTGAGCTAAATCACGGGCTTGATACTATTGACATTATTGATTATACCACTTTAGCCAAATGACATAACTGTTCTAACTAGCTGTTCTTCCTGATACATGAAGACTAAGATTACATGAGGGTTATAGAAAATACCGTGGGCCAGTGCAGAAGAACCACCGGGCTGGGTCAAGAAGGCAGCTTCTTATCTTCAAGAAATCGAACAATTAGGATCTTTCCACAGACTCAAACCCCAAAACCAGATAAGCCTGGAAGACGCTCTGGAGAAGTAATTTCCTAAGGGTTGTAAATATCAGCAATAAAGCAGTTCACAATAGGCAATTTACAAGTGTCAACTAAAAAAGAAAAGAGACAATTAACCAAAATGCAAC